TAACTGAAAACAGTTTATTTTCAAAGAATTCTCTTTCCATAGACATGATAGTCTTAGAAGAAGCTAGCATTGAACTGAAACTCTGAGGTCAAACTGTATTTCTTCTACTTATTTAATAAAGATTTAGAGGTTTTTTTGATATTGCAAGTTCATTATTTCTGTATCAAACACCATTAAGAATGTCATGCCCTCCAAATACTAATGGGTGCTTTAAAAATTCAAGGTTATCTTAGAATTGGGGAGGTTATTTATTAATTGGATAGAGGAAAAAATAGCATTAGCCTAGGGTTTGGGAAAATTAAAAACAAACACCGAGAAAGAGAGGAATAGGAATCTTTCCTGGTATCAATATGTTTCTCTATGAACATTTACCAAGAAAACAGTTGTCACGTACAATAACCTCACTGTATTTACATATGAGAGACATTCATGATAGATTGAAGTCCTGAAGAAGAGATCAAGTCAGATAACTTATCGGAGCAGTTATTTTCATTGTTGATACTGTGTTTATGGGAAAAAAAACAATGAAGTCTTATTAATTTTTAAAAAAGATTTTTTTCATGTTTAATTATGTGTATGTGGGTCTGTGCATGCAGGTGCTGGTGACCACAAAGGCCGGAGGTGGTGGATCTCCCCAGAGCTGGAGTTAAAGGTGGTTGTGAGCCATTCTATGTGGGTATTGGGGATTAACTCTGGTCCTCTGCAAGAGCAGTACATGATCTTAACTGCTGAGCTACCTCTCTAGCCCCTCACATAATTTTATATCAATACAAGTTTCTAAAAAAATGCCTAGGCTTGGGGATGGCTCAGTTGGTAATGTGCCTGCCATGTAAGTGTGAGGACTTGAGTTCCGATCCTCGGCCCCCATGAAGAATCTGGGTGTGGCGGCATACATCTATAACCCTAGCTCTGGGTGGGTGGAGGCAGGCAGATCCTTGGAGTTTGCTGGCCAGCTAGTCCAGCCAATCAGTGATTCCAGGCTCAGCGAGAGACCCTGCCTCAAAAAAATCAGATGGACTGTGACTGAAGAAGGCACATCGACGTCTGGACTCCACATGCATGCACACACATAAGCATGCACTCACACACGTTACTCATATGTGCATTCGTACAAAGGAAACAAGATTGAAATGAAATGTTACCGTCATCTGATATTGGAAGAATGTTTGTCCAGACCGTCCAAACCCCACCCCCACGCAGGCTAATGTGGCTTCTAGAGTTGGTGCATTGGTCAGACACAGCACGGTGATCGACAGGCGTCTAGTGAGCACATTGCGTGGTGGGCTGGCAGCAGCCTCAGCCCCAGCTGCAACTGGCCCTTCCCCTTCCCAGAAGCAGATTCTTTTTTTAAGCAAAAAAAATTTTTTAAATTTATTTTTATTTTACGTGTATGAGTGTATTGCCTGCATGTAGGTAAGTGCACCCATGTTGAATGCTCATGGAGGTCAGAAGAGGCTGTTGGATCCCCTGGAACTGGAGTTAAGGACAGTTGTTAGCTGCCATGTGGGTGCTGGGATTCGAACCTGGGTCTTCTGCAAGAACAACCAGTGTTCTTAACTGCTCAGCCATCTCTCCAGCCCCCACCTTTAAAAAAATGTATTGCCTGCATGTAGGTAAGTGCACCCATGTTGAATGCTCATGGAGGTCAGAAGAGGCTGTTGGATCCCCTGGAACTGGAGTTAAGGACAGTTGTTAGCTGCCATGTGGGTGCTGGGATTCGAACCTGGGTCTTCTGCAAGAACAACCAGTGTTCTTAACTGCTGAGCCATCTCTCCAGCCCCCACCTTTAAAAATTTTTTTTATTGTTTTTATAGAAGCAGATTCTATATACCACGCTTTCTATTCACCCTAGAGTTTTTCAATAGGTCACACAAATGATTAGCAACTCATTAATTGATACATCTACTTACTGATCATTTCTAAATTAAAAGCTAAGTAAGAAACCCAAATCTCACCAAAGTGAAACAGAGCTAATTGTATATGAAATTGTGACAGTAACTACATTAAGAGTAAATATTGTGCATATGTGTTTACAACAGAGCATTTCACAGCTTCTTACTTGTTCCACAGAATTTTATTAAAAGAAACAATCAAACTTTATTTAAAGCCAGCATTTCATTAAGAGTAGGGATGGCTAGTGCTGTTGTCTCCTACAGACCCAGACGTTGTTCAGGAAAGCCTAATTTACCTGACTTCATTGATCTTTTCCTTTCTTTTAAAAATTTCAAATGTAATCTCAAGGGAATAAATTAGTAGATTCATCATTTCCTCCACAACACTGTCATCAGGACAGTGTGATGAAATAGCTCATTACAGTCAGTGATGTGAAATATGAGTTCCATCAGTACATTTTCATCAAATGCAGCTACAGAAATTAGTTTGCTATTATCAAGGACTGTGGAATACAAAAATAAAATTAAGTGTGCTGGCCATGTTGGTTAAAATTTGGATTTGAGTCAAGTGACTTAAATAGAAAAAAAATCTCATAGTGACAACAGCAAAATCCAAAAGAATCACCCCAAATTAATTAAGAAGTGGCGACACTGGTTATGTAATGAGTATTTGAGGTAAACTGTTATCTCCTTCCAAGGTGGTATGTCAGATGATCTTTCTCATGTAGCTGAGAATTGTAAAAGTGATTTATAAATCTTGGGTGAGCAAACCAGAGCCCACCCTATAACAAGCAGGGGGTCCTTATCTGTAGCAGTAGCAGCACCTGGTGTATCTACTTATTAATTAATTAATTAAATTTTTTATTGAGCTTTTTAAATTTCATGCATTTCCCACTCAAATCCAGACCCCGTCCCCCATCCAGGCCTCCCCCATCCATGTTCCCCCACTGAACCCTATGCACTCTGCCATACATGCTGAGTACTAGTCATTCAGGTGTTTGTACCCAACTGTTCTTCAGTGTAATAGC